AAACGCGTTTTGCAGACGCGGGCCGTCCTGTGGTGTACATTGCCACCGGCACCGTGGCCAAGCCGAGCAAGGCGCAGATCGACGCCATCGTGGGGGCCATCCAGGCGATGGAGGGCGCCAGCTTTGTGTGGAGCCTGCCCAAGGACTGCCAAGAACTCCTGCCTGGAGAGGACGTGGCGGAGTGGTCGGGCGGCCGCGCAAAGGTGCTGGCGTGGGCGCCGCAGCAGGTGAGAGCAAGGTCAAAACAACATGGGGTGGTTTGAGCTGCGCTCCATGCTGTGTCACGGGCGTGGGAATCACTTCAACACGTCATGATTTGCAACGCACACGTTCTCTTTGCACAAAATGACTCAGCAACCCTTCAACATCACAATCTTGCCAGGCGCTGCTGGGCCACGCGGCTGTGCGGCTGTTTGTGACCCACGGCGGCCTGAACTCGACCTACGAGGGCGTCACCGCGGGGCTGCCGCTGGTGGTGCTGCCCTACTTTGCCGACCAGCCCATCAACGCAATGCACGTGGTCAACAAGGGGCTCGGCACCATGGTGGGTTTTTTGTTTCTGGTGGGAGCAGTAGGGGTGCGGTGGGCGGGTCAAGATGCATGTGGCGACGCAAGCTGCTTTCAAAGTGTCTGTGTGTGTGCTGCTGAGACGCAGGTGCTCGTCGACAGGGCTGTAGGGGTCATGAAACAGGCATCAATGATGGGCGGCCGTCAATGATGCCCACGCAGCCCTGCTGGGTCCTGATGGTGCACCTCCTCACCCTCTCCACCACCCCTCCCTGCATTGCCTTGGTTCAGCTCGACCCCTGGAACTTCACAGCAGCCGACCTCGCCGAGGCAGTGCAGCAGCTGCTTGCTGACGAGGACACACGCGCGCGCGCCGCGGAGATGGGCCGCCGGCTGCGTGCACGGACGCCGGGCCCGCGCCGCGCGGCGGAGCTCATCTTCGAGTTTGCTCAGGCATGACAGGGGCCACAGGAGCGCCCTTGGAAGGGCCTGCGAACGGGCTGCGCGTCGCAGGGACGAGGATGGCGTTCAGGGCACCTGTATTGCTAGCCAAGCGTTGTTTGCACACAGCCCCACGTGCAATATGGTGGCGAGCGGGTGCATACGCACTTGAAATGCTCATGATGCAGCCTCGATTTGGTTCCGATGGCCTTCCTGAAATGCGCAGATTTCCCTGCGTCCGCTTCGGTATGCGTGCAGTGGGGTGCTTGTGTATTTGGGCATGTGCACCTCGAAGCACGAGCACGCGTGTGAACAACGGGGCACTGCAGCACGTACGAGCGCAGCTCTCGTGAACACCCCATCCTGCTAGGCATGCTGGCAAGCATGCCGCCATGCGTATTGCGCTATCAGGCCATCGTTCATACTTGCTGCAAATAATTCTTCAACACAAGTGGGTCGAGCACGTTGCACCCCACAACAAGATGCGTGTATTTCAAACAACTTGAAGTGGTTGGCTGATTCTTGCGCCTGGTAGATGGATACCCTGTGGCCAAGATTATTTACAACCTGCTTGAATGTTTTTAAGAAGCACTGCTTGTTTTTTTTAATACAGTGTGTCCCAGCTGAAGATGTGCACGACTAGTTGTGCATTCCCGCACCTGCCATGTCAGTTTGTGAGTATCTTGCTGCTTTGGTGGATTGACAAGCAACTCGTGTGCTTAGCGGATGGATGTTGGTCACTATGCTGGTACTATTGGAAAAGACAGTAAACATCAATGAAAGCACTCAACCGCTCCTGGGAGCGGCCGGCGGCTGCTTGAGCGCGTTTGCAGATGGTGCTTCAGAGGAGTCGTTGTATTACGCAAAAAAAAATCCCATAAAAAATCGTCCATGTACAACGCTGAACCTCTGGCTTACCGTGCACGTGCATAAAGATAGAGCATTGACTCATTGACCGTGACGACCCCTGGCGGCACAACCACTCCTGCCGGTTGCAGCGCTGCACAGCCTCGAACAACATCAAAAATTGCTCGTGACCCAAATTACTGCTCTCAATTATGAAGTGTACTGAACTCTCACAGTTCCCAGCAGCAAATGCACCACACTTTTTGAGGTTCTCTTCTCGCTCCTTCCTATCATACCCGCTGTGCGATATCATCCTCCTGTGTGCCTGTTCTACTCGAGCATACCCTTCAACTGACTTGGACTACACCCGCGTGCAAATTTCGACCGAACCCCAGTGCCACAAGTGCCCGACAGGTGATCTTACGCCACCCAAACGGCGTGGTCATCCGAACGCGGTGGTACAATATTGCTTCTGCCTCCGCTGGCCTGCCTGTGCCCAACGTTTCCAGCTGTGGCCCGGTGGCCGCTGCCTCGCGGGGCGCCCGAGGCGGGGTGCTTCCCAAGGTGGTGTTTGGGCCGGGCGCCCCGCCCC